TTCCATTTAAGTTTTTCAAGGTGTGTGAAAAAACTGTTGTTTCTCCAGAATCCTGYCACACTGAAGACAAAATCACTCAGCTGCCTTTTTGTTGGTAAACTTGTCATGTACTCGATCAGCGTAACTTAGCTAGTATTTGCATACATTTATCGTTTTAGTTTTCTTTAACTTAGCTTTAGCATTCACAGTACGACACTGACTTTAGGTTTTGAAAGGTGGAGATACATATGTATAAATAAAGTGGATTGAGAAGATCGATTTCTGATAYAGCCTGTTTCTGTGATTCAGACAGATAAGATTCAGATGTGCTTTACAGCACAACATAACTCATGCTGTTGGGACCCATTTTCCCTTTCAAAAACCAGGTATTTGCTCAAAAACAAATGCTTTTGACCCAGTTCACACACAACCCCAGAGAGCATCAAACTCTCAGGAGAAAAAAAACCCAATGTCTGCAGAAAAGGCAGATGTTTGAGTATCAGGCAGGGGTGGGGTGCAATGTCCTCRTCTAACACCGAGAGAGATATGTGGAAAGAGATGGGGCAATGAAAATGAGTGATGGGAGAGCAAATTGTGGAGCTGTGATCAGAGAAAAAAAGGGGAGGTGGGGAGAGAAGACAAACGAGGGACAACGCTGACAGTGAAGCAAGCCTACCTGTCCGCCCGTCTCTTTTTTCCCGCCTTGATTTGCAATTCCTCGACGGGACACTTTCCGCGGCTGTCCGGGAGCGTCAAGAAAACAGCTGACATAAAACACCACTGTGAATGGGATTTGCATCTGTAATGACCTCCCTGGAGATGCTGAGACTATTGTGTTCCCAACAAAACCCTGTCAGATATCCGCCTTCTCTGGAATTCAGCATSAGCTCAGCTGCAACCTTTCCTCTGTCCCGTCACTTAACAGTGACTGCAGACAGCTCCCTTTGTCTTCTCAGCACAATAACATGTTGCTTTCCCTGCATTTTCTCATGTCACACCTTTGTATGCGTTTGTGGAATAATTGTTTACAATTTCATCCAATTAAAACACTGTGCAGCTTAGACTGAAAAGCTTTACCTGTCTCAATGCATGCCAGGGTTTTAGATTCAATAAATTCTGAACTGATGGACTTATTTCTCTGAGCTGCTCTGATAACGTCAAGTATTTATTCATATTTATGACCATGCATCTGTATAACATAAGTCATTCATTGTGTGTAGATCAGAGCTTTAGATCAAGAGAAAGAAAGATTGCCACAAAAAATGGATTTAGTGAGAGTGTATTCTGTTTTTGTTAATGCACAATAGACATTTTACCTAAAAAAAAGAGCAAATTTAAAACACTTTTGGAGTTGCTGTGCCCTGTTTTCTTTCAGCTAAGTTTGTGTTAGGGTTTCTACCACAACAACAGCAGCCCTGTTGTCCCTTTTTGTTCTTTTATGAACCATTCTCTCCATCGCCTGTGGTCGTCTGYGTCTTTGTGTGGTGACATGAGTCTGGCACCTTTTTTGACACATTTGTTTCTAAAGAGTCGTTATGTCTCAATCTCACATCACACCTTATTTTTTTATCAGCCCATCAGTTCCAGCGTTGTACTGTTTTGATCYTGACATTTCACTCAGTCCTCACTAGATAAATACAGTATATATTTATTTTTACTTTCGCCAAGGAGGTAATGTTTTCGGTCGCTTCTGTCTGTCGTTCTGCCTGTGGACAACATTACTCAAAAACTTGTGGACGGATTGTCAAGACATTTTTACCACATGTGGGTACTGGGCCAAGGAATACACCATTACATTTTGGTGATGGTCCGGATCACGATGCAGATACAGGAATTTTTTTTCTTTTAATCCTCTGAGATCGGCAAAGCTGTGATGCTTTCACAGGGCTTCTGTAAAAAACAGTGAGCTGGATTGGACAGCACGGACTTCAAACTTTATAAAAGTAATGTTAAAACCACATTTAATGAATAATTTTTGCCATAATATGCACATTTACAGAACGTTTTGTGACCAGGAAGTGTAATACTGCACCATGAAACCTATTTTTCCCATTTCCTCAAAC